TCCTTTCCGGTCGCATTCAACTCACGTAAAGCTTTAATTTTTCTTGTAAGGTACTTGCGAGTTGCGAAGCTTCGCTTTTTTCTAAAAAAGAAAATAAAAATAATGGTATATTTATTTGGGCGAAGTACACAATTGCTATAAAAGTTATAAAATATTAAAATTTTTAATATGATCATTTGATTATTAATTATGTTATAAATTTGTTATTTTTAAAATAATAATAATAATCTAAACTGTACGTTAATATGTTGATTGAAATATAATAATCATTTGAGATTATGAGATCAGATTTTATCATGTCATCAAATTTTTTAACGAAAAATGATGCTTTTAAAATATAATGAATAGTCAGATGAAAATTTTCGATAAAGTGCTATCTAAATTATTATTTTTTCTATCGAAAATATTAATATTGACGTTACCTAAAATGTTATTTTTCTATAAAAAATTGGTAATTAAATTAATATTTTAGGTAAGATATTTCCTTAGTTGTATATTAAGGTTATCGTATAAAAGAATTACCCGTTTAATGTTGATATTGGAATTTTAGCATTTGTCCTCGTCAAGATTCAAATAAAGCGGCTCATGCTTTAACTAGGGTTACAGATGTAAATGGTAATAGATCGAATTAAGTCAGATTTTCGATTAAGAAGTATATTTTTCGTTTGAATTTGATTTCATTTAAATTTAGAGAGATCATTGAATCTGAAAAGCTCGTTCAAATTTTGTGATAAAAAGAATATCAACTCGATCCGATATAAATATAACAAATTTATTTTTATTCAATAAAATATAGGTATAATACCAAAATATCTCCTAAGGTTTATCAAAATGGTCATTTTTATTTTTATTTTTTTCTTGAGCCTTTTGACCCTCAATGTTTCACTTTGGGACAAAAAAACTCCCTCTATAAATGAAAATCATTAGTTAACACATGATTAATGTTCAAAATAGGAGTTTTTTAATACTAAAATTAAACGTTGAGGCTAAAACACCCCATAATAAAAAGAATAAGCTAAAGTGATTATTTCGTCAAATTTTAAGGACTTTTTTGCCTTAAAATGAAATGTTGAGGTCAAGATGCTTCAAAAAATAAATAGGGGCAAAATGAACATTTTAATAAACATTAGGAGTAAATTTTGGTATTATGCCTAAAATATATACCTAATTGAAAATTTTAGAGAAAATTTTTATAGTAATTATCTCTAAGGCTTAATTTGGGGCTTGACACAAGCCCATTGTGGGCTTTGATGCTATGTTTCTATGGCTTACTTTTCTAGTTTGTTTCTACAAAATAAATGATTTTACATATTGTATGGTAAGAAATATTTGGGCTTTTTGTTTACAACAAATATTTTATCTAATCTAACATGAAGTCTATGACGTATTATTATATGACGTTACTTTATTAAGTCACTCAATTATTAAAGTTATAAAATAATCTTTTAATTATAAGATGATATTTTATCGAGTATCATATTAATTAAAAGTTACAAAATGATCATTTGATTGTTCATATGTTCTAAACTCATATTTTATTAAAAAAAATTAATGGTGCATGAGTTGAATGTTAATATGTGAATTAGGATATAATAAAATCATATTTTAATGATCTCCACTTACATCGTAGTTGCTTTGAAACACTAACTCGACAAACAAAATGTTTCAAGCACTAGCTTGACAATATGATATAAACAGAGACTTGATCCACAAAATACAACTCAAACACAACTAGAATCAAATCTTACCACGTCCTAATGAGCAAGCTAACGTTCAACTCAGACGTATTCCATTTCTTAACGGAAAAGGACAACTTTAGAACATTATGAACAGTCGGTGATTATTCTCAACAAAGCAACATCTTCTCATCAAAAGATTGTTTTATAACTTTTAATAGTTAGAGGACCGAAGAAAACAACATCATGTAATCGAATAATTTGAATAATTATATATAAAAATCTTGTTCAAAATCTAAGTTAGAATAAACCAACTGCCCATGTATGAGACATTGGACCAATCGTTGAATGTTAAAACACTTCTTTTGGCTCTAAAAATAATGGAGACTTGTCACATTCCATCTTCATATAAAATTGAACACTTCCATCACACAACAAGAAAAATCCAAATTAGTCATTGCACACATTCGACCCACCAAATTTTAAAAATAAAAAATAAAATTAATTATATTAACATTCTAATTCTCACAATAATCGGTTTGGGTAAATTTATATTCTATATTTGAATATTTTTTTATCATTATTATAACTAAAATTTTATTTCAGTTATTGTTAGTAATTTTTCTTAAAAACCACTATAGATTAAAATTATTTCACTTATTGTTAGCAAAAAATATATGATTTAAGGGATACATAATTTATTCAATTTTTAAAAACTTAATTTGAAAATAAGATACACTAGTTTTTTTTTATTAATTTAAGGTGCCTATAAGACAGTATTTGCTCTAAAGATTTTTAATCATTTGATAATGAACTCAGTGATGGATTGAGGGGGCGGGTCGCGGGTGGGAAGTCATCCTTAAAATTTTAAAATTACTATATATTTTATATTTTTATGTATTTTTATTGAAAATATGTTTTCGTCCCTAAAATTTTATAAGTTCAAGTTTGTCTCTGAAATTTTAATAGTTCAAGTTCGCCCCATAATATAAAAATCTTGTGTACGTCCCTAAATAAACCCTTAAATATCCTACAATTTCTAGTACTCGAACTTGAAAACTCTAGAAATAATAATTATTCTTTTAACATAGAGGTAACTTGATATATGCATTAATTTTTAATTGGCATAATATCAAAATTAGCCTCAAATATTTATAAAATAATCATTTGTCCCATACTCTATTTTTTTTGACTATTTTGGCACCCAAAGTTTTATTTTGGGTCAAAAAGGTTTCTAACATTTAACAGAATAATCAATTTTTTATTATTCTTTTGTTCTGAGGTTGTTTAGCCCACAACGTTTCATTTTAGGTTAAAAAACTTATATTTTAGAGTGTTAATTGTATGTTAATTAATATTTTTTATCTATAAAAAAATTTTACTCTAAAATGAATCATTAATATTTAAAAAATATAATAATTTATAAAATAATCATTTTAATAAAAGTTGGTATTATATCTTTTTAATTTTGATAACAAAGTTTTAAACTTTCATTATTAGGGGATAAGATAAGCTTAGTTCAATCACGTGAGACGTCGGCATCTTGAAAACTTAAAAAAATATTACTTTTATTTAAAAAAATTGAATGAGTCGTACACGTGGCCGCCAATTTCATAATATTACGTCAGCGATTGCATGGCGGGAATTAACGTAGCTTCCCTAATCGGACCCTAATTCAACAGATAAACGACACGTGTTAATCACTTCAGTAAGATGGTTAATACGTGTGCCGCGTGTGTAATTTTAGCACTGGTCCACACGCCTTTACCTACTGTTGAAGGGCTCCTCTTCAAATCCTTTTGCCGACACTAATTAACCCTAAATTTAAATAATTAATCGGAAAGACTGATTTATTAAAAATTAGTAATTTTAATGTTTAATATATTAAGTATATTTGATAATTTAAATTAAATATACTAATTAACATTTAATAAAAACATTAAATAGATAAAGATCTATTTATCACTTAGGGCGTGCTATTACCTTCCTAATTCTCAAGTTCGTTTTCCCGATAGCACGAATTAAACGACTTTGGTGGTAGAAAAAATTATTATTATTCTTTAAGGAACGAAGTTCAAGTATCATGAATATCAGAAATATGAGCATTTAATATTGAAAGATTGAGAATTATTTTTAAATAAATATTGCTTTATATTTGGCCAAATTAATAAAAATAAAATTATTCTCAACCCTAATGCTTTGCTTTGTAAGTGAATTTAAATTATAAAGAAAATTTTAACCGAATGGTGATATCAACGTGAAATTATATTAATTTTATTAACTATCACGTTAATGTTTTTGTCAAATGTTAGTAAATGATTTGATTAACATCATTTAAATAATTAAATAATTTAATTGATAAAATTAAAATATCAATAATCACATACCGTAACTATTTACTATTTTTCCTTTGTTTTATTATAATGAATATTTATTTTTTATTTTTGATAATTCACTTTTTATTATACATTTTTCTCTGTCTTTATGATATCTTTTAAGTCGTTTAACAATTGTTTTTTCTTCTTCTTTTTTCAGGATTGGAGTTGACATCACTGAGGTTGATCAAGATAACACTTTATTTTATTATTATGTTGATCTTCCCTGTTTGGACTTTCGAATTAGATTTGGATACACGATTTACGTTCATCGATAATATTTTCACGTCACTTAAATTTAATTTGCGATTTGTCAGTGATTTTTCAATATTTTCATCCTCTTTTGTGGCTCATTTATCGATGCAATCAAATATATTTGTATCTATTTTTTACGAGAATTAATTTGGTTAGACTTTTTAACATTTTCTTTGTATGATCCTTGAAATATTAAGTGACTAGTTTTCCTATATTTAAAAAATGTTTTTACTATGTATTTAGTTTACTATTGAGATAGTAAACATTTATTATAATTTAGATATTTTTTTTATTTTTAATAAAATTAACGATTTTTATATAATTATTATTATTATTAAGTGATCATAAATATATTTAATCAAAAAATGAGAGTCGTTTTAAATACAAGTCAAACATACGCATTTAAAATAACAATTAGTTGATCTAGTGAGATGAAACATTATATTTCTTAAGTAAGATCAATGGTTTAAATCCTATAATTCACGTATAAAACAAATTGAATTGAAAAGATCGCTCCTATAATAAATCTCTATAAAACCCGATCTATATTAATCAATTAATTAATGGGCTTTAAATAACAAATAATACTCTTACTTAGTATGTCTTCCCCATATATGGGATGCTTTTCTTATTGAATCATCCATGATTTAGTGGTTCATATTTCTTTAAAAAAAAAAGGAAACTTTAATAACTATAAAATATTACGTTAAAATCTCTCTCAATCCTTCTTTTTCTTCTTCCTCCTAGCTAATCAACACTACTATGCTGACCCTTCAAAGTGCCATCAACAATGGTGAAAACGACCATTACAACGATCAAAACGACCATCACGATGATGATGAACATATCAGGGACATCCATGCTCTGACCCCACCCCACCCTCCTCCGGCCGTGAACCGTCGCCGTTGGGACACCGGCAGCCGCGCGTCTTCGTCGAGCGAGATCGCGTCGAGCGAGAACTTCACCACCATGAGCAGGGAGTTTAACGCTCTTGTTCTTGCTGGCTCGTCGATCGAGAACAACGAATCGGATTCCATACACACCTTGAACAATCATAATCACTTGACGAGGATCGGGGAGGACCATGAACTGCGAGAGGAAACTAATCCTTTAGCTATAGTGCCGGATAATACTTACTCCGACCAGAGTTCGGATCAGCAGAGACGGGTCGGGTTTGGAGAGCCACTGCAGCCGGCTGCAGCGCTGGCAGGGAGTAGCAGCGGCGGCGGCGGGGAGGTTTCGGTGCTGAGAGTGAAGAAAGAGGAGGTGGAATCCAAAATCTCCGCCTGGCAAAACGCTAAAGTTGCTAAGATTAATAATAGGTTCAAGAGAGAAGATGCTGTAATTAATGGGTGGGAAAGTGAACAAGTCCAGAAGGCTACTTCTTGGATGAAGAAAGTTGAGGTATGTTTGGATAGCGAGAAAATATTTCTTTCCCCAGTTTTTTTCTTGTGTTTGTTGATCATTTTCTCATGCATAAAAGTAGTAGTTATCACAGTCTAATTCAAAGTTACTAATGATTTTCATGATTGATTATTAGTTGATGCTTCAGTTGACTCTAGGACACTTTCATGGTAGTTTAGTAACTAAATTATCTTCCTGAGATAATCATCATCTGTTTTTGATTTTAAGTCAAATTCTTAATCAAATTCAAGTGCTCTGCTTTAATATGATGCTGATGGTGATTGGTATAGAAAAATTGCTGCACTATACACGAACCAAACTACTTTAGTAGTTAAAAGAATTATTGTTATTAGTAGAAGTTCAAATTCGACACCAAATATTATATGGCATTTGAGAGTATTATGTATACTTTAACCAAATTATGAGTTATCCTGGTTAGGGGTTTGAATTTTATCGATTAGAAGGATCACTCTTATAATGATTTTATACTCTTGCAATAGTCGATTAATAAATCATATATCAATAACTATATAAAAAATATGAGTTATGTTCTTAGTGTTTGATACTGTCATAGGTAAAGTTCAATTTTTTTAGTTAAATAAATCAACAAGACAACAACTTAGCTAAATTATGAGCTTCCATTACTATCATAATGATATTATAGGTTGGATTGAATCGAATTCGAATATTATTAATGTTCATTTGTGTCTTGGATCGCTAGAAAAATTTTGGGTTAGACACATTTATGATGTAAAGTCGAGTTAACTGAATTCGAATTAGATTTATGGATGTCAAGTCGAGTTAAGTCAGTTGAATTCGTGTATATGTAGAGGAAGCTCGAGGAGAAGAGGGTAAAAGCCTTAGAGAAGATGCAAAACAACGTCGCGAAAGCACACAGAAAAGCAGAAGAGAGGAGAGCATCAGCTGAGGCCAAGAGGGGAACGAAAGTTGCCAAGGTCCTTGAAATTGCCAACTTAATGAGGGCTGTTGGGCGACCACCTGCAAAACGTTCCTTCTTTTGAGACACCCTTAATTCTTCTCTCTACATGAATCCGATCATCGACGACATACAAATACATACGTATACGTACCTTACTTTATTGCTTATTGAAGAGTGTACCTTCACCTTTTCAACTGTAGGGTACCCTATATCAGAGGGCATATGCAATCAAGAGTTGCACCAAATCAATCATCAATGTTATGTATGTATGTGTCATTTGTGTGTATGTATTCATCTATGAGTGCTCAAAGTGTGTTGGGATATTTGAGGATTTTGTTTAATGGTGAATGAGGGTGGAACCACTTATTGCTGGTGTTTGTGCAGCTGAGAATTATTGCATCTTTTTATCTGGTTTGGTGCCTTTGATCAGTGGCCATTAGTGTAGTTGTTTAAGTTTAATTATGAATATATTAAGTATAAGGGTAAAGTAGACGGATGGTCTATGATCATAGGATACTTTTTTATTAAGCCCTTTGACTATTAAAAAGTTATAAAATGGTCCTCTGATTATAGAATGTTATTTTGTTTAGTATCTCGACTATTAAAAGTTATAAAGTGATCACCAAACTTTTCATTATGTTTCAAATTTGCCCCTTTTTTGTTAAAACATTGACAATATTTTGAGTTGAACGTTAACTTGTTAACTGTAATATGATAAAATTTGATTCAAAATTTTAAACGACTATCAAATCTTAGTCATTATTTTAACGTTCAGCTTAGATAGTCGTCAATTTTTAATGTGAAATGACGAATTTTAAACATAATGAATAGTTGGATGACCATTTTGGAACATTTGATAGTTGAAGGACTCAACAAAATAACACTTTATAAAAGAATGATCATTTTGTAACTTTTAATAGTCGAGATTTAATAAAGCAGTATCCTACAATCAAAGGACTATTTGTGTACTTTACCCTAAATATAATCATTTTACCAATATATATTACCATCCAAACTGATAGGAATTTTGTCGAAAATCTTTGGGAATATATGCATTTACTATCTAAACTATTAGTTTTAGTTTATTTTAGTACCTAAATATTTATGTTTTTTAAAACTATATCTAATGTTTAGTTTCTTTCATTTTAGTACCCGTCATTAAAAACTTAACGCATTTGCTACTTAAACTGTCAGTTTTGATCCCTTTTAGTACCTAAACTTTCATTTTTTTTCAAAATCTAACGTTAATTTTGAACAGTGGTACTAAAACGAAACAAAAACTACACGTCAGGTATGATTTTGAAAAAAATTAAAAGTTTAGGTACTAAAAAATACTAAAATTGATAGTTTAGATACTAAACACATAATTTACCCTTAAAATTAAAGTAGTTTCACGTGCTTTTATGATTTGTATTTTATATTTTATCCATATATATCACACATAGAATTTTGAATAAATAAAATGATATTATTAAATACAACGATTGAATTATTAACATATAAATCAGACAAAAGGTATTGTTGGTAAATGCCCATCAAATTAAAGATCAATCTATTGGTCTTTGTTAATGTCTTATCCAAGTTGCCAAGAACTTTATGGTATGGGCAAAATGGCGTTTAGATCCAATTGATTATTTTGTACCATACTACTTTATTTTCTTCGATATTTATTCGTATTTAATTTATCAATCGATTAATTTAGATCGAATATTGTATATGTTCGTTATAGATGCAATCTCTGTAATTCATTTTTTTCTATTCATGGTGTTAGGATTAAAGATGAGCATTAGACTCGAATCTGATAGGGTTTGATCCGAACTATCCTATAAGGTCGAATTTTTATTAATTTGGATCCAGGTTCGATCAAGCATATTTTTTGAATGATAAGGCCAGATTGAGTCTAGATATAGGGTGAAAAAACTTGACCTAACCCGATAATAATGTATAATTAACCTTTATATATTTAAGGGTAGGGATGGTAACCAGTCGGGTTAGGACCCGTCCCAACCTAAAAATATATCCTCCACTTAAACCGACCCAGTCGGGTTACGATATAAAATAAAAACTTAATTAAAAAAATATTTTAAAGAAATTAATGGCAATGGGAACATTTGGTGGCAGAATTCATGCAAAATTAATAAAAATCTCGTAAGCTTATTATCGCTATTAATATTTGATCATAATTCCGTCCCGATATGTATATTGACGTTTTTCTTGTTGTATTGTTTTGCAGCCATGCACCGATGCTCTCACGGTAAGTCGAAGTCTTTGTTTACGTTATGTTTTGAGTTTAAATCCGGACAATCGATCTCGACTCGATTTAAAAAATTTCGGTGTTATAATTATAAATGGTATTTGAAAAACCCTATATATGTTGCAGGCTATCACCTTCTACAAATGCACAAACTTGGTAGTTCAAAACTTGAACGTTCAAGATGCTCAACAAATCCACGTCTCTTTCGAATGATGCACTGATGTTCGAGCTTCCGGTATCACGATAACGGCCCCGGAGAACAGTCCAAACACCGACGGGATTCACATCACGAATACGCAACACATACTACTCAATAACTCCATAATAGGAATGAGTATCGATTTTTCGTTCGGTACGACTTACATATGTTGATATTCGAATTTCGAGTCTAAAACTTTTCAGGTTATTTTTATTTTGTTAATGGAAGGTGATGATTGTATCTCGATTGTAAGCGGATCCCAACATGTGACAGCAACAAACACGACATGCGGTCCGGGCCATGGAATTAGGTATTTTAACTCGAAATTATATTTCATTACAATTTTATATTTAAATATATTTGATCTCTCATTCTCATGTATAATGTAATGACATTACTCAGTATTGGAAGCTTGGGATCTAATAATTCAAAGGCTTTAGTCTTCAATGTGACTGTTGACGGAGCTAAATTTTCGGTCACAACAAATGGAGTTCGAATCAAGACATGGCAGGTAAATATATGTTCTATAGGTATCCGACACATATTCGAATACGAATATCGATTCAGAATCCAATTATTCGAATAATATATGTGATCACAGGCGAAACTAAATAGGGACATGTGGGATCAAGACCTCTCAAAAAATTTGAAAAATTATAATTTTACCCCTTAATTTTTAAAAAAAATTATTTTGGCCCCATAATTTTTTTTTTAAAAAAATTTAGATTAAACTTTAAAATTTTTGAATGTTTTTCATCAAACTCCTTCCATAATTTTTTAAAATTCTCATTAAGTCTCTTAAATTTTCAAAAATTTTAGTTAGATCCCAATTTTTTTGAAAAATGTAAATTGAACCCTTCAAAAAATTTAAAATTTTAAGCTGGCACCCAAATTTTATTACCAAGTTCCGCCACGGTATTCGATTAATATATTGTCTATTGATTTCCAGGGAGGATCAGGAAGTGCAAGCAAGATTACATTCCAAAACATTGAAATGAACAACGTGAAGAACCCAATTATCATCGACCAAAACTACTGTGATCAAAGCAATCCATGCCATGAACAGGTTTGCACAAAGGACCCCATGCACACCAACTGTTTGTTTATATGTCCCAAAGAGCAGAGTTAATTGAATCCTACAACTCTCATTTTAAATTAGTCCTTAACCTTTTGAATATTCTAACTTCATCCTTAAACTATGACTCTCATTCTATACTAGTCCCTAAACTTTTGAACATTCTAATTTCATTCCTAAACTATGACCATTTTCTAAATTAGTCCCCAAACTTTTGAATATTCCAATTTCATCCAAATATGAAATAGTTTCAACTATAGTTTAACCTAAATTTTGTTGCAGAGCTCGGCAGTTCAGATCGAGAATGTGGTGTACAACAACATCAACGGGACGAGTTCTACCGAAGCTGCGATAAATTTCAATTGCAGCTCAAACCGTGCTTGCCAAGCGATTGTGCTGCAAAAAGTGAGCCTCAAGGACCTAGAACAAGGACCAACAAAAGCTATCTGCAACAATGTCAAATTTATTGAAGAGGACAGTGATCCAAAAATGCCCTTAAGGCTTTTATATAAAAAAACTATATACAGATATACATATACATATACAGAAATAAAAGCATATACATATACAGATATAGAAGATTGTGTCTCGTCACAATGGCTATGCTGGATGTTAAAGAATAATCTGAAACAATTTATTGTGTATTTGGAAAATATTCAATAACATTGTTGTAGTGGGTTTGAATAAAGTTAAGTTCTTATGTTGTTTTAGTGATTTTCACCACTCATTTAGTTTTTGTTTCGTTTTAGTACCCGTCATTAAAAATTTACCCCGTTTAGTACATAAATTATCTGTTTTAGTACCAAAACTTTTAATTATTTTCAAAACTTAACGTTAAATTTTGAATGAGGTACTAAAATAAAACAAAAATTAAAATTTTTAACAGTGGATGCTAAAATGAAAAAAAATTAAACTTTCGGTATGATTTTAAAAAAATTGAAAGTTTAGACACTAAAATGAATCAAAACTAATAGTTTAGGTACTAAACATGTAATTTACCCAAAATTTTAATATTAAAAATATATCAATATAAAATTAAAATTATTTTTACCTAATCTTACCTTGCCTAGAAAACCGATTTGGTTTTCCTTGAAATCGACAAAAATCCAATTAAAGCTTCGACTTATCCTATTCTGATAAATAATTTCCACCATACTTTTCACCATTCGGATTAGGAAGAAAATACTTTGGGTATCAATGAATCAAAGGGAATGCAATAATGTAGCTTTGAGAGAAAAATTTTAAAGTCACTTAACATTCAAATAGTCAAAACAAAAGTAATTCGAAAGTTCAGTAATGAAATTAAAATTTTATAGTGACTAAAACATAAACACGGGGAAATTGAGTGACTAAAGTAGTTGTTTATCTTTTTTTTTGGCAAAATTCTTTGTTTAATCGTATCTTTATCGGATATATATTTGAGTTTGCATCATTTAAGATAAAGAATTCGAGATCAGAGCAACAAATGGTCCTACGATATTTGATTTCTTCCAAATTAGTCAAAGCTAATCGTATAATTCAATTTGAATGAAGGAAGCTTACCTTTAAAGGTAAAAAAAGAAGAAGAAAAAAACGAGGGTGCTTTCTTTAATTATTCTCTTTTATAACACAAAGAAGTGGCCCGAGTAAACAAAATTTAATCCTTATACTTTAATTTTTCATGATTTAATACCTAAACTTTTATATTATCATAAGCTAAAATACAATAAAAAAAGGGTCGTAAACTATGCGGTTAGTCTCTTATGTTTAGGGTCTGACCGACTTTGATCACTAATTTAAAAGTCAAGGGGAAATGATCTCTAACATTATTGATCCGTTCGATTTTAGTCCCTTAACCATTAATTTTCATTAACCCCCTTTTGTTTAAGTCCTTAACATG